GATAATTATTATGATAATTGTAATAATAATAATAATTATAATAATAATATTAATAATAAATAATAAATAATAATTTTTATGCGGACCTGTTGTTTGACAACACAGTCAGATTAATTTGTAAATTCAGTCCCTTTTCACTTCAGTCAAAGCTCATGTTAACAGCAGGGCCTTATGTCTACTTAAACTTTCAAAATAAATACTTTCTCTTACCAGATCTTTGGACCACAAACAGCACCTGGAGGCCGTCTGTCCAGATATATCTGTCTGTGTTTAGCCAGCGTAGATTCTGAGAAGAACGTGAGAAAAACACAAGATGAAGCTTAAAGCAAACAACTACACTTAGACTTAGACTTAGACGTGTACTTTATTGATCCCTTGGGAAGACTCCCTCAGGAAGTTAACCCTGTATAATGCCAAACGTATAATTTTTTATTCATACGGTTTCTGAAATGTTTTGCGTCTGACACCTTTTGCATAATTTAATGGTAAAAACTTTGCTCAAAATCCTATTGTACACAATCAGATACACCTGATAACAGGGGGCAGAAGACTACACAAAAATAATCTGGACTTATCGCATAGTAATAAATTATTAATATATTTTTTTTTTATTGTTTTTTCTTTTTACATATTTTGTTAAAAGGGCAAATAAAGACTTAAAACCAAAAAAAAGTAATTTTCTGTTTTGTTTTATTCTTGGATCAGGCTTTAAAGGGTTAAAGAGCCTCAGATAAAGTTGATGTTCTCTCCTGCAAAGTATGGAGAACTCACACCGTTTTCTTCCACAAAGGACTTTTGTTTGTCCTCTTATGAGATTTTTGTAAATATATAAAAAGAGGAGTGTAGCTTTCTGATGCAAAAGACGCTGAACATAAAGTGGGGGAAATAAGTATTTGACCCCTTGCTGATTTTGCAGGTTTGCCCACTTACAAAGAATGCTTATTTTTCCTCATCAGATGGTTATCAATTTTTATAAATTCATATGATGTGATTTTCTGGAATTTTCTTTGGGATTCTGTCTTTCACTGTTAGAATGAACATATGATTAAAGTTATAGATCGTTGCATTCTTTGTAAGTGGGCAAACCTGCAAAATCAGCAAGGGCTCAAATACTTAGTTCCCCCACTGTAAGTTAATATAGTAATTTACTGGTTTGTAATTTTTTCGTGCTTCTTTCTTAACCTTTTCCAGGTGTGATGGGTGAACACGAGCCCAAAATTGAGGTGCACTTTCCTTTTTTTCCCCCCACTTTTTTTTATGTGATTTTCTGGAATTTTCTTTGGGATTCTGTCTTTCACTGTTAGAATGTACATATGATTAAAGTTATAGATCGTTGCATTCTTTGTAAGTGGGCAAACCTGCAAAATCAGCAAGGGGTCAAATACGTATTTCCCCCACTGTAGACGTACCATGAGGCAGGAGTGCAGGATGATGCTGAAGGTGAGGTAGAGAGCGGAGAGCAATAATAAAGCTCTAAAGCGCTCCAGCAGAATGGCCACCAGGCCCACCTGGAACACGAAGGTGTTGAACAGCATCAGCAGGATGATGATCAGGTTGAACAGGATGGAAATGTCCTGGATGCTGAAAAAATGCATCCAATCAAAAGGAAATAAGATTAAAAAAAAACAAACTTCTATATTGAAAAAAGTCCTGTCCCTGTCTTATTCAGTCTTATTCCTGCCTCCTAAAAACTTTAAAGAAAATAAGATTTTAAAAAAAATACTTGTATATCGAACAAAATCCTGCCACTGACTTTGTAGATTTATTAAAAATAATTCTATATTGAACAAAATCCTTTCCCTGTCTTATTCAGTCTTATTTCTGCCTCCTAAACGATTCAAAGAAAAAACATTTTTTTTTTAATAATTCTATATTGAACAAAATCCTGCCACTGTCTTTGTTTAGTCTTATTTCTGCCTCCTAAACACTTAAAAGAATATACGTTTTTTTTTTTAAATACTTCTATATTGAACAAAATCCTGTCACTGTCTTATTTAGTCTTATTTCTGCCTTCTAAACACTTAAAAAAATACGATATTTTAAAAATAATTCTATATTGAACTAAATCCTGTCCCTGTCTTATTCGGACTTATTTCTGCCTCCTAAACACTTACAAAAAAAGATTTAAAAAAAACCTTCTATATTAAACAAAATCCTGTAATTGTCTTATTCAGTCTTATTTCTGCCTCCTAAACAATTAAAATAATATAAGATTTTTTTTTAAATAATTCTATATTGAACTAAATCCTGTCCCTGTCTTTGTTAAGTCTTATTTCTCCTAAACACTTAAAAAAAAAAAATGTCTATATTGAACAAAATCCTGCCACTGTCTTTGTTCAGTCTTATTTCTGCCTCCTAAATGCTTCATTATCTTCATTATGTGCAACTTGAGAGTGTGATTTTAACTGAGGAATGTTTCCACCTCGAGTTAACCCTGTAATGCCAAATGTTTCATATTTGATACGGTTTCTTAAATGTTTTGCGTCTGACACCTTTTGCATAATTTAATGGTAAAAACTTTGCTCAAAATCCTATTGTACACAATCAGATACACCTGATAACAGGGGGCAGAAGATACACAAAAAATAATCTTGACTTATCGCATAGTAATAAATGATTAATATAAAAAATGTGTTTCTGTTTTTTCTTTTTACATACAGTGGGGGAAATTAGTATCAATTTTTATAAATTCATATGATGTGATTTTCTGGAATCTTCTTTGGGATTCTGTCTTTCACTGTTAGAATGTACATATGATTAAAGTTATAGATCGTTGCATTCTTTGTAAGTGGGCAAACCTGCAAAATCAGCAAGGGGTCAAATACTTATTTCCCCCACTGTATTTTGTTAAAAGGCCAAATAAGGAATTCAAACAAAAGAAAAGTAAATTTCTGTTTTGTTTTATTCTTGGATCGGGTTTTAAAGGGTTAAATCCCTTTTCTGTGTGCTTACATCAGTGTTTTTCAACCACTGTGCCTCGGTACACTGGTGATGGTCAGGTGTAGAAAATCATCCTATTTCACCCAATTGGTCTAAAAAGATTTTTTGATAAGGAATTAATTATCTGCAAATAATATGCCATTTTTGAGTGTGTGTGCTGTTCTAGTGACTGGTGGAGTAATCATGTAATAATTCCTTATGACTAGATTTTGTATATAATTTTGTATATTGAAGTGGACATAATAAGTGCAGTTTGAAAGAAGAAATATAAAATGTGATAAAAAATACATTTTTGTGTTTATTTGATTCCTATTCAAGACACTTAAGATAAAATAAGAATAAAATAAGAATAACTATAGTGTTACTATAGGCGGATACAGATTTGTTTAACATTTTTGTATTTATTTGATTCCTATTCAAGACACTTAAGATAAAATAAGAATAAAATAAGAATAACTATAGTGTTACTATAGGCGGCTACAGATTTGTTTAACATTTTTGGTTGGTTGGTGGTGTGATCCTCGTGATTTTTTCAATGAAAAAAGTTACCTCGGGTTTAAAAAAGGAAATATAAAATGTGATAAAAATATGTTATTGTGTTTATTTGATTCCTATTCAAGACACTTAAGATAAGATAAGAATAAAATAAGAATAACTATAGTGTTACTGTAGGCGGCTACAGATTTGTTTAAAATTTTTGTGTTTATTTGATTCCTATTCAAGACACTTAAGATAAGACAAGAATAAAATGAGAATAACTATAGTGTTACTACAGAATTGTTTGACATTTTTGTATTTATTTGATTCCTATTCAAGACACTTAAGATAAGATAAGAATAACTATTGTGTCACTATAGGCGGCTACAGATTTGTTTAACATTTTCGGTTGGTGTGCCTCGTGATTTTCTCAACGAAAAAAGTTACCTCGGGTTTAAAAAAGGAAATATAAAATGTGATAAAAATACATTTTTGTGTTTATTTGATTCCTATTCAAGACACCTAAGATAAGATAAGAATAAAATAAGAATAACTACAGTGTCACTATAGACGGCTACAGATTTGTTTAACATTTTTGGTTGGTGGTGTGATCCTCGTGATTTTTTCAATGAAAAAAATTACCTTTGGCTCAAAAAAGGTTGAAAAACACTGTAAGACTTACATGAACAGCACGAGCTGGTGGCGTAATCATGTCATAATTCCTTATGACACAATGACACATTTTATATTTCTCTAATTTTGTATAATTTTGTATATTGAAGTGGACATGTTAAGAACAATTTTTGTGTTTATTTGATTCCTATTCAAGACGCTTAAGATAAGATAAGAATAACTATAGTGTCACTATAGGCGGCTACAGATTTGTTTAACATTTTTGGTTGGTGTGCCTCGTGATTTTTTCAAAGAACAAAGTTACCTTTGGCTCAAAAAAGGAAATATAAAATGTGATAAAAATATATTTTTGTGTTTATTTGATTCCTATTCAAGACACTTAAGATAAGATAAGAATAACTCTAGTGTCACTATAGGCGGCTACAGATTTGTTTGACATTTTTGTGTTTATTTGATTCCTATTCAACACACTTAAGACAAGACAAGAATAAAATAAGAATAACTACAGTGTTACTATAGGCGGCTACAGATTTGTTTGACATTTTTGTATTTATTTGATTCCTATTCAAGACACTTAAGATAAGATAAGAATAAAATGAGTATAACTATAGTGTTACTACCAATTTGTTTGACATTTTTGTGTTTATTTGATTCCTATTCAAGACACTTAAGATAAGATAAGAATAACTATAGTGTTACTATAGGCGGCTACAGATTTGTTTGACATTTTGGTTGGTGTGCTTCCTGATTTTTTCAATGAAAACCGTTACTTTGGCTCAAAACAGTCTGAAAAACCCTGTAAGTCTTACATGAACAGCACGAGCTGCGCGGCGGGCTGGGGCCGCAGCAGCTCGCTGAAGGCGTTGACCAGCAGGTCGAAGGTCAGCAGGCCGAGCTGCAGCAGCAGCACCAGCCAGTAGTTGCTGCTCTGCAGCGTGTCCGGGCCGAAGGCCGCGGGGCCGGGGGGGCTGCGGCTCCACCGCGGATCCAAGGCTGCACCGCTGCCCACAGCCGCCACGCAGAATCATCCACCGCCACCGAGCCTGAGTCAGTGCTATTCAGTCCTGTTCTACTGTTTCTGCCTGCTAAATGCTTAAAAATAGGATTTTTTGAAAATACAAAATTCTGTCCCTGTCTTATTCAGTCCTATTTTCCTATTTCTGCCTCCTAAATGCTTCAAAAAATAGGATTTTTTGAAAATATAAAAAATTCTGTCCCAGTCTTATTCAGTCTTATTTTTTTATTTCTGCCTCCTAAATGCTTAAAAAAATAAGATTTTTTAAAAATACCTCTATATTGAGCAAAATCATGCCACTGTATTGAACTAAATCCTGTCACTGTCTTATTCCGTCTTATTTCTGCCTCCTAAATGCTT